ATTTGATATGGTTATGGTACTTCCAATTCAAAATTGAAATTTTGTGGTACTTTTTAAATTAAAATTTGGAAAATAGAGGTTACGAGTTGCATTCAAATTCAGACAAGTGCTACATAATACATAAAATAAATAAAGAAATGCATTTTCATTCTTTCCATGTAGAGACATTTAAAAATTGGCAATTTTTGATGGCATGATACAAAGATGAAAATATGTCACATTTCCAGTCACAATCAATTCAAAAATGAGGAGTGGAAGATTAACTTTGAAATCCTGTTAGACTTGTTCTAAATTGTAAACTGGGTCACTAGATTAAGTAACAGGGGAGAACTCCCAGGTAGGATCAAATAGAGGCTCTAAGTACAGTAGAAGGGCTTGAATGGACCTCTCTCTCTGGGGTAGGCCATCACCTGCTGGAGAAGAAACATGGCTTTGGGCTGAGGAAGGAAGAACAGGGGCTAAGAAACATGGGAGTCTGAAGCAGCAGCTTGGGGTCCTGGTGCATCAAGGGCTGGAGCAGAGACAGAAGAAGGTATGGATTTTCGAGATTACTAAGATTTGAGATTTAGTGTTCAAAAAACAGCATCACATTGCACTTAGGAAAGATGGTCTCTTTAGTATTGGGGGCTTCCATTACTTCAGGCTGAAGGAAAGGCAGCACCATAACAGGCTGAACAAGAGGCAGGACGTTTTGTGGAAGGACAGTGGAAGGGACAGGCTCAAAGTAAGGACAGATTAGAGGCTGTGGCTAAACACAGGGGTGAATTTTATCCTCTCTTTGCTGCTGTTTCTCATGTTCAAACTGCTCAGGTTTCTTGTTGATGTAATAGATTCCTCACTGCTTGAAAGGCTTTCTACAGTCTTTCTACAGTCTCACTGGATATGCCTTCTCCCTTCCAAGAGCAAGGACCACCAGGCAGGCAAGGATGAGAACCTTCATCGTTACCAAGTCCAGTTTCAGTTTCAGTGTGGCTTCTTCTGTAATTGGTTATAAGATTTCTGTTCAGCTAGTCTTCAGTTGGTTATTCAAGATGACTGTTCTATATTTTAGTTTTAATTCCAGTTTGGTCCTGGGAGGAGGTGAGTGTAACTTCCACCTACTCTACCATCATCTTGGGTCCTCCCATTTTTCCTTTTTTTTTTTTTTTTTTTAGAAGAAATGGGTTCAGGAAACAACTTACAGCTAAAGAAGGTCCTTGGAGCTTAGCAGAGAGAGGAAGAGAGAATGCACACCTCGAGGGACCAAAGCGTGAGGAGAGGCGTGCTCCAGAGAGAGAAAGAGAACACCCTGGAGAAAGAAGCGGGTGGGGAAAGGCAAGGGCCTGCTCCAGAGAGAGAGCCAACTTTCCTTTTTTTAAATGACTGCCTTCCTCTTTTTTTCCCTGTCCCTTATTTCTTTTATTTTATTTAAGTCTGACACCTACTAGTAGTTTCCAAAAGCACTGTTTAATCATGACGGTAACTTCCATAAGGCAGAATTTTATAGTCCCCTGCACCTCCACTAAAAAGATAATCAATAAAAAATGTAAAGTACTAATTAAGAACCACATAGGAGACATTCTTTTCTAATTACTTACCTTGGGAGGAAATTTTATATCTATATTAACATCACTACTTTTCAGAGCAAACTTAGTCAGAGATGAGCCATACAACCTAAGTGAACACTCTGGAAAAAAATAAAAAAAATCAAAGCATGAAATAGCATGTAAATACGGGATCTTAAACAACAGTGGTAGGAAAACTGCATATATCTCAATTCTATGTCTTTCAACTCAAATACAACAATTATAGAAGAATTATATCCTTTTTAACTGATCTATAAAATAAAAATGTTTCTCAGAGGGTTCAGGAACAAAGACGGAAGAGAGAAATTGCTCATAAAAATTCAATGTTTAAACAAAATTTTAGTAATAGTTCACTAAGGAATGACTACAAGTATGTTTAAGATCTAATATGTAACAGTAAAGAATGTGCAACCCAGTTATAGCTACTGCCACAAACTGCATGTATTTATATATATTTACATAAGAGATAACACTTTACATGGGGAAGGAATCGCAGACATTCAATGACAATGCTCTTTAAAAATACAAAGTGAAGCCACCAATTAATATTGCAAGCCTAAAACAAAAAAAACCTCTGTGGCTTTCAAGAGTTCACAGAACAAGTTAATGAAAACAATAACATACTACAAGTATCTTTCTCAGACTATCAAATATTTGACTTCAAAAATCATAATAAGGCAAATTTTAAAAGATCTCATCAGAGGGCAAGTTGAAAAAACCATAACTGGAACGTATCAGGCAAGTTCAGTTTCTTAGAAAGTACAAGTTCAGCCTGGCTGGCATGGCTCAGTGGTTGAGCATTGACCTATGAACCAGGAGGTCACGGTTAGATTCCCAGTCAGGGCACATGCCTGGATTGCAGGTTCCATCCCCAGAAGGGGGTGTGCAGGAGGCAGCCAATCAATGAACCTCTCTCATCATTGATGTTTCTTTCTCTCTCCCCCTCTCCTGACCTCTCTGAAATCAATAAAAAAATATTTTTAAATAATATTTACCCTAATTCAAGAGAAAGAGTTGTGTAATTTTTAAAAATAAGTATAAAATACACTTGTACCTGGTAAAAATGTTGTTATAACCTTTGACATTTCCTCCACAACCTCCTGACGAACTCTGAGGTCATCATCTGTTATTCCTTGTTCTTTTGCTAATTCAGTAACTGCAACACTTAAAGCTGCCAAGTGGGCAGGAGAAGGAGGTGGCAGAGAACGAAGCTCACTTTCTTCCTGTTTTTCCTGTTAGTGCAACATTTAACAACAATATATATATATAAAAAAGATTACTCTTATAATGAGAAATATATTTTTTTTAAGAGAAAAAGATAAATATAATCAACTTCTATGTGCCAGACTTAAGGCATGTAGGATATGGAAGAGAACAAAAGAGACAGAGATCCCTGCCTTTGTGAAGCAGATTTGAAAGACTGAGAAATACTGTGGGGGAGGTTGGTATTAAACATTAAAAAATAAAATTTGTTATACTTTATTGACTGCATAAATTCTGAAATGCTTCATCAAAGCTAGAATGGTTGTTCTGCAGTTTAGTTATAATTTTTTGTTGTTGTTAATCCTCATCTGAGGATATTTTTTCCATTGATTTTTAGAAAGAGTGGAAGAGAGGGAGAAGGGGAAGAGAGAGAGAGGGGAAGAGAGAGAGAGATAGAGAGAGAGAGACAGACAGACAGACAGACAGACAGACAGAGACAGACATCAATATGAAAGAGGCACATCCATTAGTTGCCTCTAGCACACGCCCTGACCAGGACTGGAGATTGAACCCAAAACCAAGGTGCAAGCCCTTGACCAGGAATCAAACCCAAGACCCTTTGGTGCCAGGCCAACGCCCTAACCACTTAGCACACCAGCCAGGGCGTGTAATTTTGATGTGGTTGTGGGAGGATGCAAGTACCGCATTTATGTATGCGCAGCCATCTTGACCTGAAATAGTTTAATTTTTTAAAATTTATCTTTATTGTTGAAAGTATTACAGGTGTGTCCTTGTTTTTACCCACTGACCCTCTCCACCCCACACCCGCCCCTTCCAGGCCTTCACCACACTACAGTCTGTGCTGGGACTTGGCTGGTATGGTTCAGTGGTTATAGTGTTAGCCCATGCATCCAAGGGTTGAAGGTTTGATGCCTGGTCAAGGGCACGTACCTAGGTTGCAGGTTCGATCCCCAGTGCAGGAGGCAACCAATTGATGTGTCTCTCTCACATTAATGTTTCTTTCTCTCCCTCTCTTCCCAATTCCCCCTTCCACTCTTTCTAAAAATCAATGGGAGAAATATCCTCAGGTGAAAATTAACCAAAAAAGAAAAAAAAAAAAAACATAGGCTCGTTAAATCTAAATGACTTCTTTTCCTTCTAAGTTCTTAATTTTCTTCAATGTATCTTTTTTTTAAGAAAAATGTATTGAGCACCTAATATGTGTCAGATACTGTCCTAAGCGATGCAGAAACAAAAATAAATAAGAAAATAACCTGCCCTCTTGAATATTAAATACTGAAATCTAGAAAAGGAGAGAAGGCAAACATGTGTTAGGTTTTCTGATCAAGCGCTGCAGAAAAGGAATACCTAACACAGACTTGTTGGGAAGGTCAGGTGAAAGAGTATTTCACAGAGAGGATATACAAGCACAAAATTAGATAAGAAGTTATCTGTTATTATAACTTTGAAGAGAAAAAGATTAAATAGATAAAATACTAATACACTCTAAAAAGAAAAAAACACTCTGTTCATATCTAAGTCTATGAAATGCTCTAATAAAAATAACTGTAGAATCAAGAATTCTCAAAGTCTCTAGTTTATAAGGCCCTGCATGGTCTGGACTTCTCCAACTTCATCTCACATCATTTTCCTCCTAGCTTTGTTTGCTCCACTCATACTACACTCTTTCAGTTCCTCAAATGCCATATCCTTTCCTGACTTAGAGAGATCTTTATTCATTCTGCTTTTTTGTGTAAAACGCTCTTAGCTTGCCCCTCCACACCACTCTCTTTTTGACTTTTAAACTTTTATTTCGAGGTTCAACTCAAATGTTCACTTTCTCAGAAAAACTGTCCCTGTTTTAGACTGAAATATTCCTGTATACTTCTTTAGCACTACATTTCCCCCTTTAATAAAACTCATGATAGTTAAATCCTTATTCATTGGATGCCTTCACCAATACTTCAGAAACTCTGAGGGCAGAAACTACAACTATCTTATTCATCACACCTAGACCTAAACACATAGGAGCTCAATAAATATCTGTTGAACTACACCTGACAGTTTTAAACTTAGGAATCAATGGACTTTAAGATGAGCAAACTGGACTCTGAGAAGATTCCCCTCCTGACTAAGGTAAGGAGGGCAATCACAGCTTTCAACAATGTCACTTCAATGACTAATATAAGACTGGATAAATACTGCATTTTTACTTTCAAAATTAAAAAAGATTTGATATAGTTTTACCATTCAAAAATAAATAAAACATTTTATAATAACTTACCAAAATGTTTTTCTTATGTCGTTTCTCTTTTATATGTTTATGAGCTCCCTGGATATTTTCAATATGAATTAAGCAAAGTTTGCATAGATACCGGCAATTGGTATATTCTGGTGAGCGCTGAAAAGTTAAAAAATGACATTTTCAAAAAACAGAGAAGTAAATTTTTTATTATATATGTGAATGACACAATTACGTAAATAAAAGGGACAAAAATAAGCATTATAGGAATGTTTTTAATAAACAAATCAGTACTTATAAAACCAAAATAGTTGTCCTTTTCAAAATAGTCATCATAGATCATATATTAATTTCAAACAATATCATGAAAATACTAAATATGGCCTGGCCAGTATGGCTCAGTGGTTGAGTGTCGACCTATGACCCAGGAGGTCACTGTTCAATTCCAGTCAGGGCACATGCCCAGGTTGTTGGCTCTATCCCCACTAGGGAGCGTGCAGGAGGCAGCCAATCAATGATTCTCTCTCATCACTGATGTTTCTATCTCTTTCCCTCTCCCTTACTCTCTGAAATCAATAAAAATATATTTTAAAAAGTACTAAATATGTTTGGTACTTATCTAATATAGTTTTTAGAATCCAATGTGAAATGAGAAAGGCAGTCTCGTTACTAAGTCTTATTCCAATGCTACCCCCAAAACTGATTTCAAACTTTCAGTGTTTTTGATTAAGAATCCACCCTCAAATAAGAGATTCAAAATATAGAATCCACCCTCAAATAAGAGATTCAAAAGAATGAACTGCAAATATGGGAAACAATTCCAAAAGCTGAGTTCCAAAAACACTCCAATTAATCACAATCTCATGGGAATAAATGGATACCCTCTTTAAGTTTTTACTCTGAACAATTGACACATGAAAAGTGTCAGTCATAGTACTTTAGTCATACTCCACATATATATTCTTGAAATAATAAAAAACACCATAATTCCAAAGTACTTGTTATGTGCCAGGTTCCTTGCTAGGTACTTCACATATAATGTGACATTTTAGAATGACATTATCTTCTTTTATAGATGTGAAAACAAAAGCTCAAGTAGCTTGCAACTTTCACAAGGATACATTAAGTGGAAGATGCTAAATTTAAATTCATGTATTACTGAATCCAAAGCCAACTCTCTACCCATAAGATTACACAATAAAATATTACAAAAATATTAAATATGTGCTGAATTTAAAAATATTGTTTCTACTGTCTTACACTGAAATTCCAGCAATGCTCAATTTTTATCTGATCTTCAAAAGGCTGCAACTCCTGACAAAAAAATTCTCACTTCAGAATATTATGTATATGATTTCCTTTAAATGGGGAATCTGCCCAAATATAGCAACAGTCCTGCCACAGACTAAAAAATAAATATAGCCATCATGTATTCAGTATCTACTAACCTTAAAACAACTCTATGAGGAATCCCCATTTTACTGACAAAGCAACTAAATCTCAAGAAATAACTGCCCAAGGCAACAAGCAAATAAGAAAATTCAGCTCAACATAATCATTCCAATTCTTTAATATAAGGAATTCTTTCAAATCTGTCCTTATTGGAGAATGAATTAAGCCTTCACAGAGACTTCTACCTCTTAAATTTCCTACCACAACTACTTCTTAATTCACCAACTATTTTTTTTAAATATATTTTTATTGATTTCAGAGAGAAAAGGAGAGGGAGAGATAGAAACATCAATGATAAGAGAGAATCATTGATTGGCTGCCTCCTGCACACACCCCCTCCCCCCCGCCCCCCCCCCCTCAGGGATCAAGTCCACAACCCAGGCATGTGCCCTGACCGGAATCGAACCCTGACCTCCTGGTTCATAGGTTGATGCTCAACCACTGAGCAATACCCGCTGGGCCACCAACTATTTTTTTGAGCTCACACTATGTATCAAACATTTTTCTAGGAGCTGGGTAATATAAACAAAAGAAACCAAAATTCCTGTCCTTATGAATTTACATTCAACTGTAGGGAAACATGTATTAAATAAACAAATGTATAAATAAGCAAACAGGAATATGGGAAGAGGTGTTAACTGCTTTTTAAAAATAGGGTCATCACTTAAGACCTTACTGATAAACTGACTTAAAGTGAAGGATTAGCTGTGTGGATATTTGGAAAGACATTCCAAACAGAGTAAAAATGTGAATGCTAAGGCCCTGAAGTAAGAATATGCCTAATATGTTTGAAAAATTGCAAAAAAACTAGCATGACTGGAACAGAAAGGTAATGGAGTCTAAATTATAAGGCCCCCTGTAAGGACTCTGGCTTTTATTCTAAGTGTAAGGGGAAGGCATCGAAGGTTTTTGAGCAAAGAATTACAAGATCTAATCAATATTTTAAAGGAATCACTTGTCTTCTATATTAAGAATAGAAGCAGGAAGAGCTTATTGCTGGTATGCACATTCTGCAATAATAGAGAAGAGAGATGATGTTGGCTTGGCTCAAGGTTTAAGAGTGGTGGAAGTGACTGGAAGAGTTAGATTTAGGAGTTGAAAGCATAAACAAAGAATATCTAAATGCATGAATATTGATGAGGTCTCTGAAGAAGTCATATAATCACTCATCTTATGAATTTTTCAATTGTAAGAAAAGCTTGACAGAAACTTGAATGGGGAGTCAGCAGGCTTGGGATGACATCTCAATTAACCTTGGATAATACTCTAACACTGGAGCCTGCTTCTATATAGGTCCTTAAAATGAAATAATAAAAACTGCCCTATAGGGCATGATAACTAAATTCCTCAGTAGCTAAACTTTGTTTAGTGCTTACCACACACCAGCACTGTGCCAAGAACTTTACTTATATTATCTTATTTAATCCTCATAATAGCCCAATGAGCTAGGTGTCATTATTTTCATCAAATCTATTTTAATGATGATGAATTTGAGGTTTAAAGAGATTAAATAACTTATCCAATAGTATTAAATCAGTAAGTGACAAAGCTAGATAGAACCATTGATTTCAAATCCCATACACTTAACCACTAAGCAAACTACCTCTAATTACTGACCAATTATGTACAATGTACTGTATTAGGCACAACAGTAAATAACACAAAAATGTTCTCACCATCAGGAAGATTCTAGTTTCAGAAGAGACAAATGAAAATCGTTTAAAAATTCCTTTATTATAGTTATATTTTATTTAACCATTAAACAAACACACTAATAAACCTTCTTAAAGTTTCTGCAGACCAACTAAAATAATAATTGCTGGGCATGGAGACTCTAAGTATTTCCTAGTCAATATTTAATATTTGCTATAGGGAATTTTACCCTTCCAATCTAATTGCTTGAATTTACTCCTTCTTTGGTACAGGTTAAAAACTACACTTTGCCCAGCCAGTGTTGTTCAGTGGTTGAGTGTCAACCCATGCACCAAGAGGTTACCAGTTTGATTACTGGTCAGGGCACATGCCCGAGTTATGGGCTCCATCCCCAGCAGGGGATATGCAAGAGGCAGCTGAACAATGTCTCTCTCTTATTGATGTTTCTCTCTCTCTCTCCCTCTCCCTTCCTTTCTAAAAATCAATAAAAACATATTTTTAAAAAATCACGTCTTTACTCAATTAGATAATCTATGAGTATACTGTGAACAAAAGGACCTGATGAAATAAAAAATAAGTTGGTAAGAATATCCACACTAATAAAAGAGAAAGATGCAAATTGACCGTACCTTCACGACACCCACCAGCCAATCAGGGGTGAGTATGCAAATTAACACAACAAAGATAGCAGGTTAATTTGCATACACAGGCGCTGAACGGCAAGGGGCGGGACACTTGCGACAACACAGGCGTTCCGCATCGCCCCAGCCACTCCAGGCCTCTGGGCAGCGTGGGAAGGCGGAAAGGCGGAAAGGCGGCTACGGGCCAGAGTGAAGGCAGTGCCGGCAGCCAGGGGAAGGAAGGCCCATTCTTGCACAAATCTTTGTGCATCGGGCCTATAGTTCTTAATGAGTGTCTAAAGATGGTAGAGAAAAATGTTAACTAAGAGTATACTGTATTGCCCTAGCTGATCTGGCTCAATGGATAGGATGTCAGCCTGCCAACTCAAGTGTCCCAGGTTTGATTCCAGTCACAGGCACATGCCCCAGTTGCAGGCTTGTTCCCCAATTGGGGGTGTGCTGGAGGCAGACGATCTATGATTCTCTCTTATCATTGATGTTTCTATCTCTTTCCCTCTTCCGTTCCTCTCTGAAATCAATAAAAAATGTTTTTGTTTTAAAAAGAGTATACTATATTGAAAACAAAAGGTTTTGGAGGCTTGAGAAACAAAGGTGCCAGAAAGAAAAGGGATTATAGACATCTCTGCTGGTATTGGCACAATGATTTTACATCATTGCTGTTTAAACTCAACAACAAATAAAATGTTTTCATGCTCTAAAGCTTTTCTTTCACCCCACACCATTCTTTCTTACTATCATCAAATATCCATTCCACCCCAACTTCTTCCTTCTCCCAAGAACTGATTTTTTCTGCTTTGTATCCTATGTATCTTCCCATCCAGTCCTGTTTATTTTTCTTGAAAACACATTTTTCACATTTCCTTTACACATCCCATATAATTTACCTACACCACCCTTCCCCAACCCATCGGGTCAACTCCTAATCACCCCTTCTGACTCAGTTCAAATGTCACCTTCTTATAAAGCATTCCCCAATTTTGTACCTCTATATCCCAACTCAAATTGGTCACTCCTTTGTCCAAGATCCCATTTGCAAACAATACTGTTATTATTACTATTATTATGGTTCACTTATATGTCTTTCTCTAATTAGTAAACTCCTAGAGGAGCAGTATCAGGTTTTTAAAAATGTCACAATATCCCATTTCAACTTTTTATCACCATATCATGGCATATGAAAGGCACTCAATGTTTATCTTGACAATGCAGAGCCAGAATAGCTACTAAATCTAGGCTTAGGAAAGAGAAAGAGGAAAGAAAGAACTAAGTAAAACAGCAAATTGCAAAAAAAGAATTCTAACTAGGATATGGTGAGACTAGCTGCACAGCCTAAACTCTACTCCTTAAATTTCTTTTTATTTTCAAAGGGTGACTGCTCCGTCATAAGTTTATTAATACAGTGGGGCCTTGACTTACGAGTGTCCCGACTAACGAGTTTTTCAAAATACGAGCCGATTTTTTGCTTTGAGTTGCAAGCTAAAATTCGGGTTACGAGCCAGCTTCAGCTACCCCACCGCTAGTTGGCACAGCGAACGTCACAGTGAACGCCACAACATCAGCCCAGCATCACATGTCTCACTCGTTCACTTTAAGATTTGACATACGAGTAATTTGAGTTACGAGCTCCGTCACGGAATGAATCAAACTCTTAAGTCAAGGCCCCACTGTAACTCATAATTGCCTTCTTCAATTTAGCTATGACTTAATTTTTCTAAACTATACAAAATCATACCATTTCTTTTTTATTTATCAAGGAAGACCTATTTCCTTGTATACATACTCACAATGCCCCAAGCATCAATTTGTGAACAGATTAGATTACTATTCATTCCTGTAATACCTAGCAGTATTTTTAGTAAGGCTAGGAATGTGTATTTTTAGATTAAGAAGTTAATTAGTACTCAGGAACAAGATACCAATGGCTAGAATAACTCCTGATAGATAGATGTTCAATAAATATGGAGGGGAATAAAAGCAAGGGGAAATGGAGGAAGTCTAGAACATCATGTAGTATTTTCTAATTCGTTTCTGTCACTTCAAATAAAGTATTAACTTTGAATGGACAGAAACTATGCCATTTTCACAAATAAATTCCCAATGCTTAGCTCATTACCTAGACCATAACAAGCACTCAGTATCTATTTGATGAGTACATAAATCAAGGGTCAGCAAACTTCTTTCAGAAAGAGACAAAGTAATATTATGGTAAATTTTATGCTTTAGTAAAAAGGAGATATTTTGCCCTGGCCAGTGTTGCTCGGGGTCTCAGGTTCGATTTCCTGTCAAGGGCTCATACCTGGTCCTTGCCCTTAAAGCAACCAATCAATGTGTCTCTCTCACATTGATGTTTCTTTCACTCTCTCTCTCCCCTCCTCCCTCCCTCCTCCCTTCCCTCCCTCCCACTATCTATCTATCTATCTATCATCATCTATCATCTCTCTCTCTCTCTCTCTCTCTCTCTCTCTCCCTCTCTCTCTCTGAAAAGGATGAAAAAAATATCCTCAGGTGATGATTTCTTTAAAAAGTAGGTATTTTATGCTTTGCAGGGCATATATTCTTTGCAGCAACTCTCAACTCAACCTGCCATGGTAGCACAAAAGTAGCCATAGACAATAGGTAAACAAATGGGCATGGTTGCATTCCCCCCACCCCCACACCCACCCCAAAAAAAAAACATAAAACAAGGGGCGTAATGTATTTTACCACAATTTAAAAATACAAAACACACCAAAAAATAAAAATAAAAAAAATAAGAGGGTAGGCCACAGTTCATCAACCTCTGGGGATGAATAAATAAAGTCAGACTCACAGATGTAAGATTTGCTAAACAAAGGGAGGGAAGAGAGAAAGGAGAGGAGAGAAGAAGAAAGGAAAGACGTATGGAAAGATGAATGTTATTTCTGCCTTAGGAATAGAAGAAAAATAACAAGAGCTATACGTGGCAAAGAAAAGTTATGAAACATGCATTTCCTTCAAATAACTAAAACGACATAGTATACTTTTTCAAGTCGAAAGATGTGATCTCTTTCTAAGCGTTCTTCTGCTTGTTTCAAGCCTAGCCTCTGCTCCGGTGTCAATGTAGATTCATCTATCACAGTGGCATTTTCTAAATAGTCCATCTCTGAAGAAGTTTCTTTATTAGATTCATCATTCTTCATTTTACCTAGAAAAGGAAGCAATCACTTAGTTTTCATCATTAGAACTGGTCAATTAAAAAAAATGAATGCAAAACAGACATTCAATTTATACACATACAGAAAAAATATTCTTTCCTTAGTTGTACAAGCTGGCATACCTATGTAAAATGTAAGTAAGAGATATAATACATGGCATAGAAATTCACAAAGAAAAATCTACTTCATGGGTCAAATGCCTATCCTATCTTGTTCTTCAAACCTACCTATCAAAAGAGACAAATGTGCCCTAACTGGTCTGGCTCAGCGGATAGAGCGTCGGCCTGCGGACTGAAGGGTCCCAGGTTCAATTCCAGTCAAGGGCATGTACCTGGGTTGCGGGCACATCCCCAGTGGGGGGCGTGCAGGAGGCAGCTGAATCGATGTTTCTCTCTCATCGATGTTTCTAACTCTGTATCCCTCTCCCTCTCCTTTCCTCTCTGTAAAAAATCAATAAAATATATATTTTTTTTAAAAAGAGAGAGACAGATGTGACTGAGACTTAGTGTTTAAGGCTAATATAATAAAAAGCTCTTTTAAATACCAAAGATTAGTCATTGAACTAAGTCACTTTAGCAACTTTAGCATTATACACTAGCAGCTAAAAGAACATACATACTCCAGACCACAAACCCACACCAGGCTCCTCTTTCTTTGCTTTCACTAAACCCACTGATATATATTTTTTATTAGTCTCCTAAATAGATTGTAATCTCTTTAAGGCATAGGTTATGTGATTTTATCTTTGCATTCCCAGCACCTAGCAATATGTATGTACCTGACATACACAGTAGGTTCTACCACAAGTCTGATTTTTTAAAATACTAATTGCGTCATGTTATTCTCTTGCTTAAAATACTTTCTCAAAGCATTCAGAATAAACATAAACTCTTTAGCATATTATACACAGTCCTTACACTCATGAAGGCAGTAAACAGTATACAGTAATTCCAAGCTGTAGTAAGTGCTATAAAGGAAAGACCAACTTTAAATATGAGAGTCAGGGAAAGTGTCTCTGAAATGTTAAGCTAAGACCTCAAGAAAGAGAGCTATGCCATCTCTATCTCTAACCTTATATCCTACCCTAACATTTTTTACTTCATTCATACCACGTATGCTAGAATGGATCACTGCTACTTCAAGTCTCAATATCTTTACATACGCTTTTCACTCCACCATCAAGATCCTCTCCACGTCAACTAGTAATGTTTACCTGTCCTGCAAAATTCAGCTTGTCACCTGTTTCAGAAAACAGTTGATATTCTTTATCCTATATAATAAAAGGCTAATATGCAAATCAACCAAAGGGCGGAACGACCAGTCACTATGATGCTCACTGACCATCAGGGGGCAGATGCTCAACACAGGAGCTGCCCCCTGGTGGTCAGTACACTCCCACAGGGGGAGTGCTGCTCAGCCAGAAGCCAGGCTCACAGCTGGCAAGCACAGTGGCGGTAGCAGGAGTCTCTCCCGCCTCCACTGCAGGCGGGTGGTAAGGAGTGAGGGGTCCCGGGCTGCGAGAGGACACAGGCCAGGCTCAGGGCTCCCCATCCCCCCAGTACACGAATGTTGTGCACCAGGCCTCTAGTATTTTAATACAATGCCTACACCGGAGATGACACGTAATTAAAGTGTGTAAATAAACTAATTTGGATGTACCTAAAAGCACTCCTAAAAGTAAATGATGATAGATAATCAACAAATCTCTCCATTCTGCTCTCAAATGCCAACTACATGCCAGATACAAGAACTCTGATGGTCAATTTTACCTTTTGACAGACTAATTTTCTGGACAAAGAAGAAATAGTATGCCTCTGGAGGTGATATATCTCCTACCATAAAAGCGGAGAAAGGAAGGCAAATTCTAGCTTCAAACATTACAAGTCTCACTAGGTTAGCTAAGTGATTTTTAAATTATTGTCGAGAGTCCTGGCCAGGAAGCTCAACTGGTTACAGTGTAGTTCCAATACATCAAGGTTGCGGGTTCAATCCCTTATTAGGACACATACAAGAATCAACCAATGAATGCATAAATAAGTAGGACAACAAATCAATGTTTCTCTCTCTCTTTTTCTATCTTTTGAAAAAATTCATTCAATAAAAACAAATTATTGTCAGGTGAACAATGATGCAATTTGCAACTGTGTCCTAATATTTGGAAAAATAATTTAGTCTTTTAGTAATAATTTTATGATGGAAATGTAAAAGAAAAGGTAAAATCCTAGTCTTATTTCAAAATTTCATGAAAAAGGATAGCAGCAAGGAATATAATATTCTAACTTTCTTCTCTATATGTACAACTTGCCCTGTATGACAATAATTTAAGAAACACTTAGTTTAACCTAGTGACACTTCTAATG